ATATGGTGACAGCAAACGAGTTGATTGTACCACAAAGTTTCCTCAAGTAAAACCAGTCAAAGATTCTTAAGTAGAAATTCGTGAGAACAAAGAGTTATGGTTCAACATCTTCCACATAGAAACGACTCAATGAACTTTATTTTCAGTTACATGTCAAAGCAAACCCACTATTTGCAAGCAAAAAAAATTTTCCCGAGTGCGGTGATGCAAAGACATTTAGCGCAATAAGATATTCATTACTAGAATAACGTACTTTTTAGCGATGAATTCATGCTTCAAGGCTTCTCACAATCATTAGGATATCTACATTTTGGGTTGCATATAAGAAGGTTTTACTGAAAATTTCTTGAAACTCCCAGTTAAGTTAAAAACCTCCGACATGATTTGGGGAGTGTACTAATGTTAAGTATTTAGGAAAGCTATGGATTTTGAAAGGAAGAGTAAATTTCAAAATATACTTGGAGGCATTTGAGCACTTTATGATTCCATTATCGGATGATACATTTGAAAATGACTTTATCCTTTCCAATTAGACTAAGCATCTTGGAACAAAAATCACCACTACTTGTCTTCATATAAAAACAGTCAAACTACTTCTCAGACCGACCTATTTACCCGATTTATAAATCTTAAGGAAAAATATATATAGCTCTTAAAATGAGAGTAAACACCTTCAGGATTTCGTTCCAAAGAGTAAAAAGATATCCGTTGCGGCAATTATCAGCAAAGAAGACTAAGAAAAAATAGTTCACAGTATGCCAGATGGTGTTCGTGAGGGTATTAGGACCAAGCAGGAGATGTCATTACAAATTGAATATTATCAATGTTTTTCATTTAAATTAATTATTTAATTGGTTTGAATGTTATTCTATTTTTTAAATCACTCTGAAAATTAGTCTAATTTCTTAATATTTTTAGTAAAAAAATCATTGCAAAAACTTTTAAATATCTTATTAATTTTTTATGCTTATCCAGCGTTGCCAATAGCAATTCAGTCAAGCATTAGAGTTTAAAGGTTAGAATTTAAGAATCTCATTAAACTTTTTCTTCATAAAATTTGATATAATATGCGAACTATATACAGTCGACTCTCGCAAATTCAAACCTTCGATAATACGAACCTCTCGCTCATTCGAAGTATATGCTCAGCCCCTAGAAAAACTCTTGATATTTCGAACTAAAACAATACGTTTTCGTACACTCAATATTTCGAAGAAAAATCTGACTGGCCAGTATACAACACGCGATAATTCGAAGTGATCTAATAAAATCCTCGACGGTTCAAACACTCACTATCATGTAGAGTCCTGTAGCAAACAGGCCGAGGCTTACATGTTTTATATTGTCTCTGCGTGTCTCCCCTGTAATATAGCCCCTTTGATGACCATCAGAGTTTGACTCTGATAACTCTGACGGAAGCTAAAGCGTCAGCAAGCAATCTACGCAGCTTTTCCCTTCAAAATCATGTTGATGTGGACTTTTTTCACAAGCTCCATTTATTCTAGAAGATCTGTTAACAAAGCTAGATTGAATGCCATAAAACAAAACAAAAAAGATAACAGATTTTTTCGTCAAAAAAAAAATTATGTACAGTACGTGTTCTTTTAATAGTTGTTTTTAATGTATTCTTTTAAAATAGGACTTTTAACCTCTGTAAAATATTTGTCAGCCTCTTATCCCTTCGGTGGGTCGATAAAGCAGTAACAAGATTGCTTAGGAACTTAACACTGTGGGTTTCGCGTCAAACTGACCCCCTGAGTGGAACATCTGCTCATGCACCTCAGGGTCCAAGGTCGCGTATACTGAGTTGGGCATAGTAAGCCTTGGCCCTCATGGGCTGTTGTGCCACTGAGTTAAGTTAAAATATATGTATTTTTTAAATACTTCAAAGTAATTTTATATATATGTACAATTGTTGTTTTATTACATAGTTTCAAATTTAAATGAGTTAAAAAAATTTCTCTTCGTGTATTTTGGGAGTTTTTCCCTACCCTCTTGATAATATTCGAAGTTTTTCATTGGTTCGTTCAAATTCGAATTATTAAGAGTCGTCTGTATATCAAATATCAATCAAACTAATTTTCTGTGCCATTTTAATAACAAACTATATAATTAAGTCATTTTTATACGAACAAACTCTCTTTTACACCTAAAGGAACGCAAAATATAGCTAAAGTTGTAAAAAAATGCCTATATAAAAAAGCCAATAACTATCTTTAATTATTAACAAAATTATTCAAATCGGACTATTTTCAATCATTTAGAATCGAACTGAAGTACGAGATTGAATATATTTCGGTGGGTCTTCATTTTGATTTTACTAATTTTACTTAAAATAATTGCTACTGATATTGTTTTGTATTCAAACTGCTTCATTCGATACAAATTTTAATTAAACCACAATATTTTAAAATTATTTTTTAGTTTGATGAAACAATTGTCTCACTCATGGGATTTCAAATATTTGAGAATTTCAGTTATTTTTATAACTGGAAAAGTTTTACTTAATGAGAACTTTCAATTTTCTTCCTTTCCTAAAAAAAAAGTCTTCTGACCACAACGCTTCACAATTTTAAAACCAAGGTCAAGAATCCTGATGCCACTGAAGATCCATGATGTAGAGGGGTTGAGGTTCGTTAAATGGCTCAAATTCTTCACGTTGGTGTGTTGTAAAGTTAGGATAGTGAGGTGCTGATTCAGGGTTCGTCTTAGTTAATTGACAATGATTCAAAATTACGAGGTTCGTCATTAATAGATTATTGGCGATGGACCTCGTAATTTTGAACCTCACTACTCAGAGCAATGGAAAACATTTTAATGAATGAAAAATTATAAATATTTATATAAAAAGAAAAATTTTAAAAAAATATGTTACCGTATATTTCCGTGAATAAGCCAAAACATTTTTGGAGTTTTTGTAAAGCTAAAATAAGGGGGTTGGCTTCTTGTGGATCTTCTAATCTTGGAATAAACATAATTTAGGAAGACGTTTTTTTCTTCTTTTTTTCTCTCTCTTTCTAAAAAAATTTGTTTTTGCCATGAGCCAATTTAAAATGTTTAGCTTTTTAAGTATTTTGAGTGGAACATTTTAAAGGGGGGAGGAGTCATATAAACCATTCACAATTAGTGATAGAATCCAAGTTTCCCCATAGTTCTTAAAATTTACAATCACTCATTGGGATATCTGAATGTGCATGTTCATCCTGCAGAGTTTTTTTTTCACAGGTAGACGACCACCTGACGTATACGTTTTTCTCTTCCCGCTTATTTTCCAACCAAATATGACACTGATACTGTACAAGATAACAAATGTTTAAGGGAATAACGTGTTTGAGGCAAATAGTATTACCACAGAAATAAAGCTATCATTGTTGGTGTTTTACTTTACGGCAATTTTATTGGAAACTATCCCATCCGTTTTATGTCCACTTGGTAATATACTTGAAAAAGTTACAGGAACTTTTTTTCTTCCAATTCGGCTTATATACGGGTTTTAGGTGGATTTTTTTAAGTGAAAAAACGTACTCTTGGCTTATATTTGGAAATATATACGATGTTTGAAAACAATTATTCTCATTCTGTGTATGGATTTCGGGAAGATCGAACAAAACTCAGGTTCTTGAACTTTGAGTCAGTATCTCGTTAAAAAACAATAAAAACGTGAGAACATTAATAAAATTCTTTCCATTCAAAAATAACTTTTATGTGAAAAAATGCTAGCTAAAAAGCTAAATATAAAGAGGAAAAAGAATAAATATTTTTTTCAATGATGAGGAACAGCATATTGAAGAAATATTGCTCTTTATTGTACGTTATTTTGTAATGAGACAGTTCAAAGTTTAATCTGCAGACTGGCGCCAATTGAAAAGAGAGTTTCACTTTTCTATGTCTCAATACATATTGAAAAAATTTAATTTCCGGTAATAGAAGATAAAACCAAAAATGTGAAACATTTAATGCACTTTCTTGAGTCTATTTTTTATAACACTTTCATCTCGTTTTTTAAGTATATATATACACATATATATATATATCCAATCACACATTACATTAACTATTATTAAGTAAAAAATCTAAAAATGTTTCGTCCTAATTTCAGTAGTTCAGCTTTTCAATTTTATTTCTACATTTTTGGAAAAATATCTTTTTGTGAATATTTGTTTCAATAATTTCAAGAATCATAAATGAGATTATCCAGGAGAATTTTGTAATTAACCTCGCATTGGATCAAAAAATCTGACCCCATGGTTGCGGTGAGGAGACTGATTGATTGATTGTAATTTTCGTCATACTTTAAAACAACACGAGGGCTGTTCGCGTCGGACTTTGTCATTTTGAACCACGGTCAAGTGACAAAGACGACCACCTCAGCTGGCATACCCACTCTCCTAACTTCCACACCACACTAGCGGGAAGACTTTGAGCCTTGACAGATTTAATGTGCATCAGCCTCTTTACATGGTCTTAAGTGGCCCTAGGTTTCGAACCCGCGACTCAACAACAATGGTCACGAGCTGGCTACCATAATCACTCGGTTACTGCCGCCATACGTTGGGAATGATGACGCCCAAGTAATGCTGCTGTATGATAAACGGAACTTAGCAACAAAGTTGTATTTAGTGTGGAAATTAGATGTGGTTTCGACTCTGATGCCCCCCCCCTTTCGCTTATACTTGGTACTTTATAGTGGCCGCGGTAACCAAGTGTCATGAGTTTGAGCCCAGTACCACTGAAAACCCACCGTGTAGGGGAGCGATGCCCGTTAAATCTGTCGAGAGCTCAAACGTCCTCCCGTTGGTGTGGTATGGTAGTTAGGAGAGGGGGTGCCGGACCAGGTGTCGTCCGCGTCACTTGATCATGGCTCAAAATTACGCGGTCCGTCGCCAAAAACCCTTGTGTAGCTTAACAATGCGGCGTTAATATTCACTCACTCACTTGGCGCTTTATTACAAGCCCTGCCATTAAAAGCTATAATATGGCGTAAATTAAATATTATTAAAAGCCAGTTCTCGTTCGATCACCTAAGTTAAGCATCGATGGGAGGGGTCAGTACCAGGGAGAGTGACCACCTGGAAGTAAAGTGTCGTAAGCACTTTTTTGTCCGCTCGATGTCTGTGAGGTAGCGTGCCCGCCTCGTAAGCTTAAGGTTGCGGATTCGATCCCTGTTGATAGATTTTCTGGATGAAAAAATCGTAGGCACGTATGTCATATGATTATGTGGCATGCAAAAAATCCCACGAGTATCAATTTGGCTCTGATACTCTCGTCAAAAAAATTAAATCATGGCAATACTTAGCATCCGACGAGAGTTTGAATTAAAAAAAATTAAAACTTCAAAACTTGATAACGAATGTCGCCACTAGTTGTTGCCACCATGAAATGTCTCTCCCATTTAGGGACTTGCCGTGTATGCAAAGGCTAAGTTGCTGAAATTCAGCCCATTTGAAACAAACAAATATGATTAAAATGAAATTAATCTATTGAATCAGTAAAAGTTGTGGTTGTTTGGTACAAAGTTTTCTAAAAGTTTGATTAAAAATCCAAAGTTCCTGTATAACTGAGTTTATTATTATCTTCACAGTAATCGAAACACACATACGTGGGAGAAAAAGAACAACAGTTCACACATTGTGTAAGGTCTCAAAAAATTTGAAAGAAAATTCTTAAAAATCGCTAAATACAATTGCAATATATATATATATATATATATTGGTAATTATTAATAGTCACTTTTCTTTTAATTTTGAGAAAATGTGACAGAGTTTGATGGTGATTCCAAGATCTAACAATCAGATAACGAGGAATATGTGTGTTTCTGATAATACTCAATTCTCCAAACCTCCCCGCTCCGATTAAGCCTCCATTTTCTTAAAAGATTTGTTTAGAAAAATCAACAATCGAATTATCTACTCTCCAACCATTTAGCTGCTGCTTTGTAATTGGTTGATTGATTGATCATAAGGTCGCAATCCGAAGCAATTTAAGGGCTATGGGTGACAGACCTCGTAATTTTGAACTTCGGTCACAAGTGACGACGACAACACCTGAGCTGATACACTTCTCCAAATTACCACATTGAGCCACGACAGATTTAAAGTAACTGGGCCGTGAAGGTGCTTTAAATTTTTCATTTTTTATTTTACTTTTAAAAAAAAGAGGGCACTTTTTTGCTTCTATAGATGTATTGCTTATGAGTATTCGATAAATAGAACGCTAGAAAATTGAATTTTACAATTGTAAGCAAATGTAATGTAACTGTGATTCAGGTACACTTTCTTCAAAATCCGCAAAGTATTCAATATGTATTGTAAAAAACTAATTTTTCTATTCGAAGAATGTAATTTTTCTATATTATATGTTCAAATTTATTGAAAATTGCACATTTTTTGTGCAAAAATTACGGGAAATTTAAATGATTTGCTACAAAATTTTGAAAAAAAATTTTGATTTTTGAAATGTTAATTATGTCTAGTTTTGCATTTATAAATACTCAGTATAGTTTTAAATTATAAATCAAGTGGATATAGTATAAAGTAGATTTTGAAGATTATTCTAAATTAAATACACAGCTCGTAAAATAGACATTTCGTTTTTTCTAACTGCTTATTGTTAACATTTGAATGCTCATGAATAACTCTATATGTTTATTACTCTTTTGGTTTTACATTAAAATAAATATTCATATATGTATGAATACAAAAACAGAGATTCTTTTGATATAATTTTTAAAAACAGAGTTTCATTTAAATTAGACGTCAAATTAACTTCGTAAATTAATCAAAGACAATTTTTTTGTGTATTTTTATAAATATAAAAATGTGTAAGGAATTTTGTAATATCCTGTTATGATGCCGTTCAAAGTGAAATAAAAATACTAAAACTTATAGACATAAAACTTTGGTATTTTAAATGGAAGAAGATGTGAATCGTTGATAACACGTATTGATGAAGTAGGGAAAGGGTTATTAAAAATACTTCTAAAGAATCTAGAATTTTAAATTTACAATTTAAAAACTGAGAAATGATGCAAAATAATCCAATTAACAAAGGTATGACTTTATATTGTATTAAAATACGGTACTTATTCCTCAAAATCTACTTTACCTATAGTGATGATATTTTGAATAATACAAGATCAATAATGTTTTTAACAAAGTGAATGAAATCGTTTTCAAATAAACATTCAGAAATTTTAAATATAGCACAATTTCTGCATAAAATTTAAAGGAAATTTGAATCACTAAACTTAAAATTTTTATAAATTTATATTTTAAAATTTTATTTCGTTTATCTTATGGATTGTTATGTTTACAAAAACTCCGGGAAATTTTATAGCTATATAGGCAGCAAAGTGTATTTTATGCAAAGTGTATCTAAAGGTAAGAACATGCTTGAAAATAAAAAAATAGTTATTGATTAATTATTCCTCTTGCAGGTTTATTTGTAATTTAAAATAAAAATTTTTTACATTAACAAGTACATAAATATACAGAAAATTCAAAGTAAAAATTGTATTTCCGTTGCTTTAAATTTAAGTAAGTGAGAACCATTTAAAATTGGTGCAAAAAAAGTTCATTTTTCCTTCTCGCAGACGTCCCAGTTACCTTAAAGTGCACCAGTCTTTCTACACGACGGATCTTCAGAAGCACCAGGGCTCGAACTCATGACATGCTGCCACGAGTTCGTTACCATGACAACTAAGCTGCATCGGTCACAACTAGGCTTTTTATTTTAGATTTCTTTTATGTAAAACTTTTTCACGAAGCAAAGATATGAATCAGTAAGCTGCATATTTTTCCATCTGATTACCTGGATGGTCTTTTGTGCCAGCTCTTAGGACACGAAGTCGTGGCTGGCTTGTCAAGGATTGGAGTCTTGGTGTAACTGAAGACTGTTGTACACAGACGGGCTGATACACGTCAAATCAGTCGAGTTCAAAGTCCTCCCGTTGGTGGGATGCAGTAGTTTGGAGAAGTGGTGCCATCTCAAATGTCGCTCTGGACCGAGGTTAAAAATTCCAAAGTCCCTCACCAAAAACCCTGGTGTTGCTTTACTGTATGACGTTAATTTAGCTCTTACCCACTGCATAACTTTTTTCTAATTGTCTGACGAGCATGGATTTCTCCTTAAGTATTTACTTTTTAAAATTTAGAATTCTTGCAGAAATCGAAATCAACACAAAAAAATCAGTTTTTGTCAAACTTTCCCCCGTTTTTATCTGGTTACTTTTTTCAATGAATGAACAGAGATAACTAACGCGTCCGTATTTGTTAATTTTATACCATACATACAGCTATACATGTAGTATACCCCAATCTCCAAAATATACTATCTTACCAAGTTTTATTTACACCACAAAATACTGATAACTGTATATTAGAAGTTACTATCTCTGAGATTCGGAGACTGAAAATGAATGGCGGGACAAATCACCCTCGTTCTAAAACACGTCACTTTCCAACTCATTCGAAATGAGTATGTTGTCAACTGTGTTGTCATGAATTGGACACCACGTGATGTTTTCACCATTTTATTCTAGGTGTTGGCGTTTTCAAAAAAGTTTTTTTCCCTTTCGTTTTGGCTTTTGATTTCTGGATTTCAAATTGAAACGTATTAATGGACACTGATATATTTTTTTATCTGTGTTTTTGTTACTCTGTGTGCTGAGGTGGGAAAAAGATAAGAAAATGCTCCCGTAGAGATATTCATTAGTAGTTGTCTTATCTCGAGTTTTTCGCGATATTTAATCTTTTAACAGCAGCAGATTAATGTACTGGGTGGGTCCTTAGATTAATTCAAACTGGATTTTAGATACTTTTAAAAATAAATCGTTACGAAGGCGATATATATAAAACATCGAATATATTTTTTGCAATATATAACTTTTTCCCCTTCTCATAATTTAACTTAAACTTTAAACTGCTTATATTATATGTTGGAATTGATTTGTATTATATTCATTGATTATGCAATTATTTGTCATTCAAATCGCTTCAGATTATATTAACAATTAATTATACATAAAAGTTTCTCGCTAAAATTCAACCAATTTAGCTCAATTTAATACAGAAACTGAGTATTGTTAAAAACATAAGTACCTGAAGATTATTTTTAGTACTTTTTCACGTATATTAATGATAAACCATACCATTGTTTGATTTTCAACGATAACACATTTATAGAATAAAAACAACTGATTTCGGTAATTGTTCCATTCATTAAAGCGTTTAATTTTGATAATTCATTGCATTTAAAGTCACTTATAAATAAAAAATAAATACTAATAAATATTTGGATAATTTGAGAGAATAAATAACACACATCTTTAATTTATTAAATATAAATAACTGATTCTTAAAAAGCATCTAAATTTATTTTACTACATTTCAGTTTTCAAATAGAGATTTTAAAATTGTGATAGATAATGCCATTGATTAAAATTGTAACTGATAAAATCTGTAGTTTTACATTTGAGAAATATTACTAATTTAATGTGACCAGAATCTTGGACAAAACAAATACAAAACCTATCCTTACTCTATCACAATTATCTGATATATTTTTCATCAATAAAAGCATATTAAAGTTTACAAAAAATGGCTGCGAAAAATTAAAAAAGAAAAGCAACAAAAAAAAAAGTTGAAATTATGAATTTAAAGTTTAAATTCAAAAATAATACATCACATGTATTGAACGGGAAAATAGGGAGCAATAGATACTGTTTCATGTGAATAATCAATGTCCATTTTAGAATCTGATAATACAGGTACAAATCCTCAGATAAAACAAAATTAAATCGATTCATTCATCAATTGATCATTAACTTATTTCTGAAGTAACTTGATGGTGATTGGCAACAACAGATCTCTTAATTTCGAACTTCAGTCAAGTGACAAGAATGATATCCGGACTAGGCGTGTCACCTCTCTCCAAACGTTCACAACACACCAACATGAGGACTTTCAGCCCTTGGTAAAATACCAAATCGAGGTTTCTCGCTTTAAATATGACATTACGTAATGGGAATTATTTATTTTTAAGTTATTTATTCTCTCTCTTTTGCATTTAGTATTATTCAGTATTAAA